CCGTCGATACACTCGCTCCGTTCCTCGGTCCCAACACCACCAACGCCGTCGCCGCCGCCTCATACATCTGCAACCAATTTTCCGGTGTATCGGACAGATTCGTCGATACCGGTTATGCAATCGATACCACATATCTCCTCTTCTCAGCTTATCTCGTTTTCTCTATGCAGCTCGGTTTCGCTATGCTTTGCGCGGGCTCTGTCCGTGCAAAGAATACAATGAACATCATGCTTACAAATGTCCTCGATGCTGCCGCCGGTGGACTTTTCTATTACCTATTCGGATTCGCTTTCGCTTGGGGCGGTCCGTCTAATGGATTCATCGGCCGACATTTCTTCGGGCTTAAAGAGATCCCGTCAAATTCATTCGATTACAGTAATTTCCTCTATCAATGGGCTTTCGCCATCGCCGCCGCCGGTATCACCAGCGGTTCAATCGCCGAACGCACCCAATTTGTGGCGTATTTGATTTATTCCTCTTTTCTAACGGGTTTCGTTTACCCGGTTGTATCTCATTGGTTTTGGTCCCCAGATGGGTGGGCTAGCCCGGGTAATTCAAATCTTTTATTCGGATCCGGTGTTATCGATTTCGCCGGGTCGGGTGTAGTTCACATGGTAGGTGGAATTGCCGGGTTTTATGGAGCTTTAATTGAAGGTCCGAGAATCGGGCGGTTCGATCATACGGGTCGATCCGTTGCACTTCGTGGACATAGCGCGTCACTCGTGGTTCTAGGCACCTTTTTATTATGGTTCGGATGGTACGGGTTTAACCCGGGTTCATTTAATAAAATCCTAATTACTTACGACGGTGCAACCGGAGGGTATTATGGTCAATGGAGCGCTGTAGGCCGAACCGCGGTTACAACTACCCTAGCCGGTTGCACCGCGGCCCTAACAACCCTTTTCGGTAAAAGGATCCTTTCGGGTCATTGGAATGTTACCGATGTATGTAACGGTTTACTAGGCGGATTTGCAGCAATCACGGCTGGATGCTCGGTTGTTGAGCCATGGGCCGCGATTATATGTGGGTTCGTGGCGGCTTTAGTTTTAATCGGTTGTAACATGTTAGCGGAGAAATTTAAATACGACGATCCACTTGAAGCAGCACAATTACATGGTGGTTGTGGTGCATGGGGGATAATTTTCACTGCATTATTTGCTAAAGGGGAGTTTGTGGATCAAGTATACCCGGGTATACCGGGTCGACCTCACGGGTTATTCATGGGTGGAGGAGGGAAACTACTCGGGGCGCATGTAATCCAGATTCTCGTTATAATCGGGTGGGTCAGCGCGACAATGGGTCCGCTTTTTTATATCCTTCATAGATTCAAGCTTCTTCGGATATCATCCGAAGACGAAATGGCGGGTATGGATCTGACCCGACATGGTGGGTTTGCTTATTATCATGAAGAAGATTCGAAATTAGGAATGCAAATGAGGAGAATTGAACCAACAAGCTCAACTTAGAAAAAGGGAAAAAAAGAAATTTATCTTTTAATTTATTATTATATATTTGTCCTTTGAATGTTCTATTTTATATTTTAGAAAATTAATATTAGGGTGTTTGTGAAAAGAGAAAAAGGAAAAAAGAAGAAAAAAAGTGGATTTTTTTAGGGTAAAATGGGTGGTTGTGTATGAAGATAATGTGAACATGGACTCTTTTTATTATTATTTTCTAGTTTTCTATCTTTGACTTTATATGCACTTATCTTTGTACATATAACTCAACTTTACTATTATTATGGAACCGTCAAGCTTGACTTGTCCTTTTTCTATTATTTTTTGGTTATTGAAATTTCATTGACAAGGACTTTAATGAAAAGGATATTTGGTACCATACCTTGAAAATTCGTGGAACTCTGATGTATTCAATTCTAATTGAAACTTTATAAGATGTTTAATTTGAATAAGGGTTTTTGAATCCTATATAAAAGGACTTATATTTATTTGAAAATACATCTTCAATATTATGTGGAATATTTACAAAGATCAGGAGATCAAAAATCAACTCACGGAGGAAGAATCAAGGAGGAACATAATTGACACTACTTATTAATAAAATATTCACGTTTTTTCAGATTTTACTTGTGGTTGATTTGTTTGTTTTTCATATATTTAAATTTGTTGCAAGCATACTTATTTTAGAAATAACAACAACGCATTATAATATCATTCCACAATAGATGTTTGATGAAAATGTGATGTACGCAGATTTTATCTGTACTTCATAAATAAAAGGAGGTCGAAAGAGATAAAGAATGAAAGATAGAGTGGGAAAAGAAGATTCAAAGGGATCTCCTAGGGTTAAGGGTGACCAAACACTTTATTGTGTGGATGGAGGAGAATCTTGTGAAAATTCCTAAAAAGATTGGAAAAAGGTGCAATTCATTTACCTATTAAATTTAATGTACATACTTTGTCTATTTGTGGGTGGGTTACCTTTAATAATAACCCATACGCATGACAAGACAATTAAAACCATTATGGGCATTAAAAAAGACTTGTCCTTTTTCATGTTTTCTTTTTGACAATTTGGGTGGGGATGTGATATTAGTGTACGAGATTTATGCATTCTTTTTGTGGAAGTGAATATGTAGTACTATTTTTCTTTCAGATATATAGTGGTGGAGTCAGAATTTTCATTAATCGGTTCAAAATCTGAAAAGTAGACACATAAACTAGTTGAAGGTAACTGACATCTACTATATATAAATAAAAATTTATTTTAATCACATATAAGTATAATTTTTTTACCGAAGGGGGTTCGGATGAACCCCTGAACTCAAGGTGGCTCCACCTCTGTAGGTCTATATTACGTGAATTGTTGTAATTTTTTTTACATTTCAAAATAAGTAAATTATTTAAAATTCTAAAAAAATGTTATTCGCTTCGTCCATCTTTATTTGTTCACTATATTATTTTGGATTGTTTAACAATAATTGTCAAGTTTACAAAAACAATGAGTAATTTATCATGTTATGTCTATTTACCCTTACTATTAAATATTATTCTTTTTTTTTCAATGTTTAGATGATTTATATTTAATAAGGGTGATTTGGTAAATTATCCCTATCATTTATTGCTTATTTATCCCTACTACAAGTCAATAGTGGACAACTATTGTTGGATAGAGGGAATAGATTTTTTTTTTTCAATCTATCCTTTATTTAATGAAGTTTTTAAATACTTCATAATTTTTAGAAGAATAGTTTGAAAATAATAATGAAAAAATTATTTATTTATGTCTTTAAGTATTTTTTTTGTAAGAAGGATATCAAACCTCAATATTCATTTAACATGAACCGGAGGAAGTATAGTATTTTCGAAAAAAATAATAATTTTTTTTTAGTATATTGTATCATATCCATCTCTAATTGGACATGAAAAAAAGAAGGAAAAATAAGATTATTTAAGAAAAAGAGGAACTTCTTCTCCAATAGATGAGAGAGAAAAAAAAATCTAATTATCACACCCCAAGGGGATATTTGTGGTTGTTTTATTATGATTTTTTTTTAAAAGTCATTTTTATTTTTAAAATAAAAAATAATATTTTATTTAAGTTGTGTTGGCTATGAATACATATTGAAGTTATTTTTAAAAAAAATAAATTTATTTGTGAGTAATTTGGAGTGAAAAAAGGTGAAAATACTTTTTTGTTATTTTTCAAAATTTAGAATTTAATTATCAAAACATGTTTTTTGAAATTCAAATCCATAAAAGAATAATTAAAAAAAATTCATAAGAATATCTTTCAACTTCATCACTTATTAGAAAAAAAAAAATCTTGCTTAATTTTTGGCCCCTCCTTTTTGACCAATTCCTAGGACAATCAAAAGAAAATTCTTGTGGTTATGTACAAGTTCTTTAGATTATTAGGTTTATTCTAGAATCTACTTGCTCCCTTAATTTTTATTTGTCTATTATTTTAAAAATAAATTATTTTTTTTATTTTTTATTTTCGATACATCAAATATTTTTCTTGTTTAGGAGTAGTTAGTATTAATTACTTATTTTTAAAATCTTATACTAAATAACAATTAATATGAACATTATGATAAAATTCTCATATCGATCAGTATTTTTTAAGATATAAACAAAATTGAAAGTGAATAAGTAAAAGTAAACGGATAAAAGAATTAACTAATGAAATTTAATTATTATCAAACTAATACTTATTCGATTAGTACGTAATGCATTTATATTGCATATAATGCTTATCCACTAACAAATCAATTCTAATAAACCTTTCAAATATTTTGATGATCTCGTTGTGGGATTAGTTTGAATGGACCTCGACAATTCATTCAATTTCTTGTGTTTCGAAATAATAGGTAGATATTGAAATTTTATAATATGGTCCTTGAGGAAAAGGGCTTTAATTATGTGAATACTTTTTTTTTCTTTTTGTTGGAATTTGTAAAGCTATTTTGTATTTATTGATTACTATTTTTTCTTTTTGGTGGAATTTGTAAAGCTATTTTGCATTTATTGATTACACAAGGAAGACAATTGCAAATTAATAAAGTCATATATTTATAATAAAGGGGACTTGAAAGCCTTTTATGCAATAATTAAGTGTTCATAACATTCTTTCGAAATACATTTGATGTTGATAGTGTAATATTTTTATTCTTTCTATTTTTTGTTTTTCATTTGGTGTTCAATGCTCACATCAGAGCTCCAACTAAATCTGAATCGCGCGCTGCAGAATTCATTCGAGGATGACACTCTTAACAAGTTTTTTTCATGCCCAAAGCTCAAATATCAAGTGTTCTATAAAATTTTACCTATTATTTTTAATATAATTCAATACATAGAAAGCTTATATATTATCGATGCACAAAAATTAAACTCAATAAATATGGGAAATATTTTCTTTTAGGGACTTTACTTTGCCGACATTTATATTTATATAATAATGTGACATGGAAGATACTGAACATTTTGCTTACGTATATATTTTACAAACTTATACTATATATTCTTTAATAATGAATAAATTCAGTGGATTATTTGACTTAATTAATTAGTTGTTGAGCATTACGTTTAAATGACAGTTATAAAAAAAACAATAAACTCAAATGTCAACTACAATATTTTATTATTACAAAAATTGTTTTAACAAACTATGTACTTAGTAGCAGTACTAAACAGGTACTTATTGTTTATTAACAGCAATACATGAAGTGAGGATTATGTCATCATTCATATAATATATACTAATAAAATATAAACACTAATTAGCAATCTTATCAAAGACAAAAAAAAAAGGAAAACTTTCTTTGGAAAGAATTACCCGTTTAAAAAGAATGATCTAATTTAACTTGACACGGAATTTAAGAAAATAAAGAAGATTTTTCAATTTTGTAGTTCTAAATTAAAGCTATGTCAATTATACTAATCTGACCTTAAATCTTGTGGCCTTAAACATGTTACGTAGAAAATTGAAATTAAAGTGTTGCCAAAAAAGAAAAGGAGTCATTTTCTTTTGAAACAGACAAAATGGGAAAAACGATCATTCTTTTTAAAACGGAGGGAGTAATTAATTAGTTCACGATGTGTGTGTTACGTTAATGATGGAGGGTAGATCGACGAGAATGTGTCAAGGAGAAATACTGACAAACTTGAAAAAGAATATGCATATAATATTATAGACGAATACGAAAGAGAGAAAATAAATAAAAGTATGATAAGTCATAACATAACTACATAAGATACGCAAACTTTTGGACTCGATGATTAATATCCCAAAGGACAAATTTGTGATTGGCTAAATCGGACAATGCGTACGTATACCATGAGCATATAGGTCGAGTTTAATTAAGTATTATATTATAATTAATACAATATTTGTCTTTGTTTTCAAAATTAAACTCATAAAGTAAAATCATTAGCATATTCATGGAAAATGATTGGATATATATTGTTTGGTATACATTACTATCATTCAAGACTTTTATAATTTTGACGTAATAATTTCGTTGAATATTTCAATCATTTTAGAGAAGACCAATGAATAAAATGAATTGTATAATAACTATAAAGTATGGCCATCTATTGGAAGTGTTCAAAAGAAAAAAATATTACTTTCGTTTTAATTTATTTGTCTGATTTTAAGTTTTATGATCCTAAATTAATGGCAAAAATATATCAACATGTCATTTGATATTGTGATCTTAAACATGACATATGGAAGGTTAGAATTAAGAAGTTGCCAAAAGAATAAAATTATTCTTTATGAAACAAACTAAAAAAAGTGCGATAAATAATTTAAAACGAATAAAGTAACAAATTTGGTGATGGTACGTTATCTAAATTCTAAACAAACTGTTCCCAAAAAATTATAGGCCTGTTGAGAAATTTGTTTGTATATGCGTTACATGAGCGAATATGATTGTTTTAGGTATATAAATGATACAATTCAGATAGAAGCACACTATAAAAGCTAGCTATTAAGGTGAGAGTTCACGACTATGTAAATTTCATATCTGTCCGGACGAATGTTGTGATACCAGTGTCACCATCCATGGCATACTAGTAGAGCTGTCAATATGGGCTGGCTCACCCCATCTGGGCTAATCCATACATGCTTTGAAATTTGACGAGTCAGGTCGGACTAGCCCATTTTTAGTGTGGGCCAAAAAATGGGTGATCTAGCCCACAAGTACGTGGGTTACGGGCTTTGTCGGGCCAACCCACTTTTCTTAAAAGTATTTTTCTATAATTTTTAAAATTAAATTATAATTTAAAAATATTATCATAAATATCGATAAGACAA